GCATCGCTAGTAGTAACAAGTGCCTTACTAGTAGTAACAAGAAGCTACTAGTAGCTAGAAGCTAGTAGGTTCCGTCCAAAAGTCCCAAGGCCTCGAAGCGGAGCTCAAGCTGGGCCGCCCAGACTGCTTGGAAACAAGCAAAGCAGCCAAGTGTGGTAGATGGTTACGATTTTCGGTTGCCAAGACAGAACGTAGTATTTGTGGAAAGAGGTGTATGAGCATGTACAGTATGAGAGATCAAGTGAGTTCGATGAGAACTGGAAGTCTCAAAATACGCTGAGACACGTGATTCTGTGGCTGAAGTGTGGGACAGCAATCTTTCAAGGACGCGAGAAGGAACCTTTGCAGATGGCGCCTCCGGTTGATTTGGTAGTTCAGTGGCGACAAGGAGATCGTGCCGGCGAGGTCCCGGTGACGGTCGGTGGGACGCATTTGCCATCATTTGCCGCAGATACGAGACAAGGTCAGGTGTTTCAGGCTGAATGGTTTGGGAGGTTTGAAGGTGCCAATCAGTTGGTCGTCTGCAATCCTGACGACTTGGAGTGTACTGTGCTTCTCCAAAAGAAGGGGTAATTGACAAGTGGGGGAATGCTGACTGCCAGGCTTGTGCTCTCCAGGTGCCACTGGAACGTGTCTTGGCGACCGATGGTGACATGCAGCTGTTTAAGCTGTCCAAGGAAGTTTAACCACAGCCTGTTGGTCCGTACCGCCCAGGTCCTGAGGCTCCTCCATGCCCATTAGATCTTCATTTGCTAGCTCCAGAAGTTGCAGAGATGGCCAGCACGTGAAATTGCAGAGATGTTTCCTGTGCATCACGCAGTCTGACGCAGTCTCATTTTGGCGGCTCTGAAGGAAGCGGATTTAATGGTTCCCGTGACGGTCCGGATTCGCAACGCGCATGGTCCTGAGTCCTGAGTTCACCTCTGAAGACATTCCTAATGCCAAGCAAAGTGTGTGTTCCACTAGAATTTCAGAAACGAGGTCTTTGGCTGGTTCTGTTTCATTCTACTTTGTAGCGGTCCGGTGCTCAGCCGTTGTGTTATGGAGCCAAGCACAAGATTGAACAAGCTGACAAGTAAGGCCGCTTAGAGTGTTGATTCTTCCTGTGCTATTTGCCATAGTTGACTTTGTTCTTGCCCCAGAGGAGTCCACTGCAGACATTGCCTGGATTGGATGTGAACGATCAGAGATCATCAGTTTGCACGGGCCCTACAGAGGCTTTTTTCATTGGGACAAAAGTTTGACTCGATCTTTGCTGCCCTGCAGACCTCCAAACACCAGCCACTCTGCCACCCTCCATGCGTGCGACGGCCCAGAGCATTCTTTTTTTGCAAGCCAGCAACTGGACGCTCATGCTATGAATTTGGTTCCTAGATGTTTAGGGAAACTTAACGACAGTTCTGGTTGCCAGGTACTTTGCACAACCAGGCGTCTACAACCTGAATCGATTTCGTCTTTTCGTAGTGGGCATGTGGCAGACTCAGCCTCACCTACAGTTCAATCATTTGTTTTCTGCCCGAAAGTCGTCCTCACCTCATGGCTAGGCCTTCTGGCTCTGTCCCTGCGTCCGAGCAGGAGCGAGATGAATTTCTGCACAAATCGTGTTGTCCGTTCTTTTCATTTCAAAGGCTCCGCTGGCCTTTGCAGTGCCTTTTGAGCGGCTGCTCCACGTGACAGCGGGTGCCGAAAAGATTCGAGGGTCCATGAAGCATGTTGAACATGAGCGGCGTTTAGATATTTTGTGATGGACAACTTGTCAAGTCTTGCTATTGTGCTACACCCAACCAACACAGCAAAGTTAAACTTGTTGCTCTTACAGTTACAGTAAGGCTGCAAGGCTCTACTTCTCACCTTACAGTCAATACACTTGCGAGAACGTAGATACGAGTGAGCAGGTAGACTTGGTATGGGAGCATCCCACACATGAGATGCCATGCATTTTGTGACATGCATTTGCCATAACGGTGAGCAACGATGAACACTTCAAAGGCTGCGAGGTTTGCAACTGGTAACATTTGGTGACACACTTGTTCCTAGTAGCGTTCTGGCTCCTAGTAGTACGGCCAGGAGCCCCTAGTAGCTTCTTGTTCCTACTGGTAAGGCACTTGTTACTAGAAGCGATGCCCTTGTTGCTGCACAAATCTTTGCTGATCTGGTCCCTAGCCGCCTGAAGTAGTAGAAACCAGCCAAGTTCCATGTCGCTTACCTGGATAGCAGTGCAGGCAAAAGTTTTGGATGCGCAGATTAGACACACATCAGTCATGACCACTCAAGGCTTGGACACTGCACGCATGAAATCAGATCTAAACATGGAGCAGGAGAGCCATGAGGGCTGGAGCGCAATTCAGCGAAGAGCATCACATACACAGCAGAGAATCAACGATGTTGTTTGCCAAAGAAGTGGACGTTTTGGTTGCGAAGCCACTTTTTGTACTTGCCATTGCGCCGAATGGAATGGGCTGTAACTCTTCTGGATGTCGCAGAGGTGGCCCCCTGTTTGCAAGTTGTTCGGAACGCAGTTGAAGCTGTTTGTGGAAGCGAATCAGATACAAACTCTGAGTTCTCAGAAAGCAGACGGCACACGATTGAACCTGAGGCGTGTATGAGCCCACCGAGCCGCTGTTGAGACCTGCAGCCCACAACAGGCAGGTTGAGATGTTGGAGGCTGACGTTTCAACAATTGTGGGTTGTGTCCTGCGAAAGGCGTGGGTCAAAGCCGACCTTGCTTCGTGGCCCTCCTGGCCAGAAAGATGATGACAAGAAGAAGCTGGAGGATGAAGAGAAAATCGAGCCTTGGAGAAAGAAGAGAAGAAAACAAGCTCACGGAGCCTTGGCTGTTGGAAAAGACTTCCAAGGATTCGATCTTCCCATCAGAATCCAGCACATCAACACCGGGGAACAGGCAAGCTCTTTCAAGCTGAAGGAACGTATAACGTCTGGTTGATAGTCATTTGTGGCCATAGCTTGAGGAGACCCCTGAAACCAGCAAGCCGTCCTGGAAGAGGCAATCCTTTCCATCTGAAATTGGCCGATGAACTTCATGTTTCCACATTGCGACGCCGACCTCGATCAGGAGTTGTGCCCCCCATCAAGGCAGGGCGGCACGGCTGGGCCGACGTTTTTCGTGGCCGAGCTTTTGGAGGTCTTATCGCCTCCAAAGAATGGTCTCAAGGTCTTATCGCCCGTGGCCCGTGGCCCAAGTGGATGCCTTGCCACCATAGGCCCAGACTGATCCAAGCTCACCTATCTTCCAACTAAAATGAATCGGTGATGTTCCACATGTGCTACTTGTGGACAAAATTCAAGTCTTCCGTTTTCCTCTGTGGCCTTCGTCTTCCGTCTTCCTCGAATCTTTGCGCTTTTTCTCCGTCCGAGGCTGTGGCGTTGACAGGGTCAACTTTGCCCTTGCCGCCCTCGGCCAGTCTTCCACCACCGTCTTCCTCCTCCGAAGGCTCCGAGAGGGCTCCGCCCACGGGAAGTGAAGCTCAGCTGCGACTGTTGAAGGGCTGAGCCAGGGAAGTTTTGAAGCAAGTTATATAGCAAGTTTTTTCCGATCCTTCTAGTAGCAAAGGGCATCGCTTCTAGGAGCAAGGACGCTACTAGTATCTCCTGGCCTTACTACTAGGAACAAGAAGCTACTAGGAGCAAGGGCATCGCTACTAGTAACAAGATACTGTAGAGTCGCTCTGTACATGTAGCTCTGTTGAATCAACAGAGGCTGTACTTGTAGGTCCTGAGGGGTTCTTTCCAAAGAGCACAGTAAAGAGCACCGCTTTTGCAGTGAGTTCATTGTCCATGAGCTGAAAGCGAATGACTCAACCGCAAATCAAGTTTGTTCCCGAGGAAATCAGCGTGCCTGCACCTGCAGAGGTGTCGCAGCTTCGTTTCGAAATGTTGGCTTGGAATTGTACGGGAAGGCCATTGGATGCAACTCCTGTTATGTGTTGATTAGAAGTGGTCCAACATTATTCAAGAGACACCTTACCGCCTCACCTTACCTCTTCTTCATCAGTCAAAAACTGGGGAAGTAGTGGACTTGGGCACTGGCATCTCTTTGAAATGTGTGAGGCGCCCAAAAATTCCAGCATCCTGTGCTGTGGCAACATTTGTGGGGCAGTGCAGCTGCTACTTGGAGCATTTCTGCGACAAGCGAGGTGCAGAATCCCAAACCCTCGGGATCTTTAGGGACTTGAGGCAAGACCGCAAAGGCCACACGACAGGGCACCTGACATCACTTCTGAAATATTATCCTCCTGCTTTAGGTTGCGTGCGAGGCAGGATGGACCAGCGCACAAAGAATCTTTGCAGCATTTAGGTGTGTGTCCATATTCGTTTGGTGGTTGCTTTGTGGGAGTGTCTGACTGACTGGCTCTCGATTCAGTCCTCTTTGTGACTGACTGAGGCCAATGGCAGCTCAATACAGCCGCAACTGGCGCAACTTCCAATTGCACGCTCCATTCCGGTGCGCGCATGCAGATCTATTTACAGTAGCTGCTGAACAGCTTGTAATATATGTCACAATATGTTTGAATTGTTTTGCTTGAATCCCCAACTGAATCTCAAACTGGTTTCCAGCAGTTACAGTCTTCCAACTGTGTTTTTCCGTTCCTCAGTGCCCCGGAACGCGCAGAGGAAGACCGCAGCTCCGAGCGGCACCTGCGGGCCGCCGACCTACGGCAGCGCTTCCGCTTGGCACGTGAGGCGGCCAAGGCGGTGTCGCTGTCAGCCGAAGACAAGCTGCAGCTCTACGCCTACGAAAAACAGGCCGTTTTTGCGTTCTGCCTTAAAAGAATATGGAGCCCACGAACCCGAATATACTCGAATGCACACACGCAGACACGCAAGCGGGCAAACGTTGTTTGACACTCTTGCTTGACACTCTCTCCAAAGACACTGTTGAAGGACATTCTGGGGTGACGCTCTTTTAGCACACTCTTGTAAGACACGCTTGTCCGACACTCTTCCACGAGAAAAGTCTTTTGTTCTTGCAGGACACTCTTGTGGGTTCATACGAGACTTCCTCCGAAAGTCACGCGTCAAGTCATTCCGTTTCGTGTGAGACTTCCTCCAAATTTAAGGGCGAAGCCTCATGTGAGCAAACGTTTCACGCATCCCTGCCAAGCAGTTTTGCAATCCAAGACCCTCGAAAGAGCAGCAGCAGACACGCCAATCCCAATGGCACAGCCACATTCACCTGCGCCGCCGCACATCGCAACCTCATGATTTGCACCTGCCACGCAAACGGACTCCCAGCACGTCCAACGTGCAAAGTTTTGCGTTTGCATGTGTCTGCATGCGTCTGCCAAAGTGAAAAGTGACTAAGCCACCCCTCGAGCAAATTTGCCTGAGACTTGTCATGAAAGCATAGCTTGAGGCAAGCGCTTCAAGAGCAAATCCAATTGCACAGCGACATTCAACACCTCTGCACTCCTATTGGCAAGGCGCAAAGTGCTGACCTGATGAAAACACTGCACCTGCGCAGCCAAACCATCCTTCACACTTATATAGACATGTTAGTTTATTTTTTCGCACGAATCTGACACCTTTTTCTTCCCCAAATAGTGCTCCGCACTAAGGGGTTCTTACGGTAAGAGTTAAGGGCCGGGCTTAGATCAGGGTTCGCGCGTGTGGTTGCGGCACTTTGCGTGGGCCGGCTCGCACAAAAGTTACTTTTTGAATTCCTCATGTCCATTTCGACTGCGCAGGCTCGCATAAAGTGGGTGTCGCGGTTTTCGCGCTTCCGGGACAAAGCTCTTGTGCAGGTGCCGTGCTCGTTTTTGGACATGAAGTGCATTTTGCGTGGCAGGCGCAAGGAATTCGACACATTGGAGCCTCGAAAAGGTCATTTTACGTGGCAGGTGCAAGGAATCGGAGACTTTGCAAATTCCGTGGCAGGCGCAGTGTTTTGTGGACGTTGCAAAAACGTTGGCAGGCGTGTGTCACTCGCAGGACTGCGTTTCACGTGGCAGGCGCAGGGAATCCGCACCATGGATGCGATATTTTGAGGTGAAACGGCTGAATTCGTGAGAGGGGTCGCATTTTTAGAATTTGAACTTGAGGATGATTTTGCGTGGCCAGTGCAGCATTTCGTATGACCTGCAGGCATGATTTCGTGGCAGGCGCAGCATTTCTGAAACGCATTTCAAAATTTGCGAAAGCCTCGTGCAATTTGCTCATTTTGGATCTCCGATGTGCAGATTTCGTGGCAGGCGCAGCACTTTGTAAATCTCGATGTGCAGATTTCGTGGCAGGCGCAGCACTTTGTGAATCT